GTGTATGTGTGTAAACTTGTCTCTTTCTTATCTGTGCCTGGGATAGCCAGCTAAGTCCTGGCAGGCTTATGGCGCCTTAGCCTGCCTAGGCCTAGATATTGTAGCATACACACTGGCTGTAGGCCTATCTAACCTAGGCCTAAACTCACGATACAATATTTTCAGCTATTGTATGATATTCCTCTCATGAATTAAATTTAGGCTTTTTGATATTCGCGAAAGTTTAATGTCGCGAAAACGGCCGAAATTATCAATTCGCGAAAGTTTCTGGTTTACAGTATTTAGGCTAGGTAGGCCTATGTATGAAGAATATGTAAAAATATCAACTTTTTTAGAGCTCAGTAATTGATTCTGAAAAACTGTTAAAAAAAAAAATGATGTAGAGAAATGCCATCAAATGGGCTTAAAAAACTCTAAAACCCTGGAGCGCAATGGCGCTTCCGCCCCCTTGACCCTCGACCAGGGCTCTGCCCCTGGACCGCGATGGGGGCCTAGGCAGCCCCCTATACCCCCGGCCTATTTCAATTTACTCTCCTGTTACTTTCAAATTTCTCCTGCTACTCAAATTCTTAAATAAACCCCTGTGTCATCAACTGTCGATAAATCATGTTATTAATACATTCATGTTTTGTTATCAGCTGTCAGTAAACCATGTTCTTAATACATTCATGTTTTGTTATCAACTGTCAGTAAACCATGTTATTAATACATTCATGTTTTGTCATCAGCTGTCATTAAACCATGTTATTAATACATTAGTGTTTTATCATCAACTGTCACTGTCAGTAAACCATGTTATTAATACATTCATGTTTTGTTATCAACTGTCATTTCAGAATAATAATTTATATATTGATAAATTGATGAGTGATGTTTGTGTCTTTACAGAATAAGTTTGTTCAAAGTTGCCCTAAATCTTTGCTAAGATGCTTGATAATATGGTAATAATAATAATAATAATAATAATAATATTGATAATAATGATATTCTCAAAGACTTTTATCTGGTTCCGTAGGTATAGTAGAACATTTTCTGTTGCTAAGGTAAGCAACTAATTGTTTTAACAAAACAGATAATTTTCTACAATAATATTATTAATAACAATAATATTAATAGTAATAATAATAATAATCAAGGAATCATGGCATATTTATAAAGTAATTTATAACTATTATAATAATAATAATTATTATTAGTATTATTATTAATAATAATTAAATAATAATGATGATATCCTAGTTTAAATCATGCAAACAGCAGTATATCTTTTTGAAATATTTTTTTTTCTTGTGTGCCATTTACTAAACCTCATAATTATGAAGCATACTGAACAGTAAAATAGCTTGCTACTGCTGGTAAACATCGTTACTTCCTTCACCCCAAACTTCATACAAGAACTCACAATATACAGTCCAGATTATCAAATTTTTTTTTACCAAAACTGTTGTATGCCCATATATAGTCATGTAGAAGCAGTTCCCGCATCGATTGTGTCTTGGACTCCCAAACTTGAGATCAGGGGTTTGAAACTCCCACTGTGCAAGTTGCTTGTGTCCTTGGGCAAGGCACTTTATCTATGTTTGTCTCTCTATAAGTGGGTACCTATTAGGATGTTGTGGCTTTGAATGTACTAGTTTCCTGAGCTAAAGAAGGAGTGAACGACTAGGGATACTCTCCAGGGAGCAGAGAATGTTGCACTTTGTGCTGGTTTGCCATTGTATGTTATTCAGTGACCAGGGGTAAAAAAACTCGTGCCTTTGATCATTCAATTTGAAATTGGCGCCTTATAAATATTTGGGTAATATTATTATTATTTATTATTATTATTATTATTATTATTATTATTATTATTTTTATTATTGTTGTTATTATGTGCCTGTATATGGTCATGATGTGGTGTTGCAAGGAATATGGTTTTAAATTAATGAATAATAAATAAATAATGTTGAATATTGATATAGCAATAACTTTTTTACAGGTGTTAAAACTGGTGATTGTGTTACTTACATTTTCCCTAATGGATCAAAAACAAAAACTTGTGAAATTGAAGCTTGGTGCCCAGTGGAATATGATGAGACTCCACTGTAAGTACTACAAGTTATCGTTTGATAGGTAAAACCCTATTCCTAGCAAAATTTCATTTTTTTAAAATCTGGTTTTGATATATAAGTTAAAAAGATTTATAAGTTATACAAAATTGCTAGCTTTAACTGAATTTAGTTGTGTTCCACACAAAAAATAAACGTGGATGAATTTTCTATCTTTGATTTTGCAATCAGTCTAATCTACTGTTGAAGAAATATAGTAGGCACTGGAAACATTAATCTAGCAACACTGCTTTGCTAGGCCTAGCCTTGTTTCGAATTTTTGTTTCTGTAATCAGAGATAAAAACGGCTGACATGATATTTTCTGTTGCTAGTATTGACACTTTTTCAAATTTGTTAAAAACTATTCTGACCAAGATTCTTACAATTAAATAACATAATCTCAGACTTACTCGATCAACTGCAGTGTTTGAGGTGCAAGGTACAAAAACTAATTTCATTACAGAGGGCGCACTTTATTTATCATTTAAGATCATATCGGCAACATAAATAGTTTATTAAATCGGATTAATTAATAATTTTATTTAATTAACTGTGGGATGAATTAAAATATAATAATAATGAAAATTTATAAAGCGCCAGTATCCATTTAAGTGAAAACGCTCATGGTGCCCCTCGACAAGTCAGAAAATGACAGTAAAAAGAAAAATTATGAAACCAGAAAATATCTTATCATTAGAGTTCATGGTATTACTGTAGTGGGTGACCAAAAATAAATAATGCAGTGAGATTAATTACTTTACTTACCTCGGACGCTCAACTCTATAAAGTAAACAGAAGAACAGTTAGCGAGAGGATGCCAGCTGATGCGATGTACAACCTCTGAATTATTCTAGTAACGAAGTTGTCGAGAAAACAGTAATCTTCTCTACCGTAAAACAAAAATTTATTCCTATAATTGACTTGGTTTATAATACTTCGAGTAATGCATATGCCTTTTTTTCTGAAAATTGTTTTTAGTGAAATGTTTTTGGAATGGTGGCTTTAATGTATCACTGTTCCCAATAGTCCTTTACCACAGTAATCCTGACAAATTTCATTGTTGTGTTAAAATTTAAGCAACGTAATAATTCTTTAAACTTTATCAAATGCTGGTTTGTTTTGTATAATGTGTTTTAATTGTGTTACTGCACAAATTGTGCAGGCTACTGGTAGTAATATTTTGTTGATACAAAATTAATTTTCCAATAAAAAAATGTTGAATAAATTCATCGATGTTTGACAATGTTTGTTCCATGCCCTACAGACCACAATTCTTCCTAACAGTCCACAGTCCACCACACCTTAGCCCTACAGTTGTCAGGAAATAGCACTTGCAGGTTTTAAATATACTTTTTCAAAATTAATGTTTTCAATAAAACGATTAGCTACTTCACTAAAAGTGGTCTACATTTCCCCAATGAGGGTGTCATTCACCACCCCCCCCCCCAAAAAAATACAAACCCCACTAGCACTCCAACCATAAAGTTTTGAAAGCCCTTGTATCGCTGCCACCGTAACATTATCTTTTATCAGTGAATCTCAGGTGGAATAATTCTTGATAATCACTGATATTGTAATACTTTTGTTTTTGCAGTCAGAATGAAGCTGTGTTAGCGGCAGCTCGTAACTTCACAGTCCTCATAAAGAACAGTGTTAGCTATCGGAAGTTCAATTTTGAAAAGTATGTACCCTCAATTAACCATTTGGTGTATTGCATTGTGACAATTTTAGTGTACTAGTTTAATTAATCCATATCCATTTATTTATCAACCATTTTCGTACAACTGTCATGAGAAATCACTGTTATTCCGTTTTTTCTCCTCATATCCTTGTATAGATCGTATGTGGTCTACTACTGCCTCTAGGTCCACCACTCTTCCATCTTCCTAATGCAGTATATTCCTTTTTTTTCTTAAATTCATCTGATATCATTCTGCTCTTACCACATCACATGCCCATCTTTATCTGCAACTAATCCTTTTAAATGTTTAATTTAACTTCTGAGAGTTTTTCACTTCAGGTTTCTCGTAAAATTTAGTTGTATGTTTAAAATTATGTAAAACACAGCTTGAAAAAATTCAGTTTTTACAAATTTACAGATGTTTTTCTAGGAAAGTCCTTAAATTGTTTACCAACCAAGTTAAGGTTCTATGCAAAGGAATATAATAATAGTGTTAAATGCTTATATCAGACTTGGAAAAAAAATCATTTTGATTTCCAGTTACTTTAATATACAAAGTAAGCAACTCAAGCTTTGGATTTTATTTTTAAGTTCTTTAAAAAAAACTGATAATTATAACATCAGTAACATTTTAATTCTTATACACATGACTTACCATAGTATTCATGACTTCTATATACATGACTTACCTCAATATTTGCTTGTTTTGTCTTACATCTGTCCGGTAATATATAAACCGGTAGTAGCATAGCATTATTACCTGATGATGACGTGTGACACGTCGAAACATGTCAATTAAGATTAAAAGCTGTATACATCAGTAACAATTGTAAAATTTGTAAAGACTGACGAGACAATGAAAACATTTAAAAAAATGAATAATTACACGTTCGTTCGTTCCTAGACCCCTATGGTCTAGGATATTTATTTGTATCTTAGGCCAAAAGAGTTAATACCATAAAATGGAAAACATCAAGAATTTGATTTAAAAAATACAATTCAAATGGACTTTCATTATGTGTTTCTAGACGAAATATCGCTGAGAGCGCCAATAAATCATACCTTACGACCTGTCGCTACAGCACCCACGCAAATCCATTTTGCCCAGTGTTTCGCTTGGAAGATATAGTAGCAGAGACTGGTGAAGATTTTGAAAGGATAGCATATCAGGTAATAAACATTGTACTGACATTTATACTTTTTTTGTCTGTCTTCTTTGGAAGACACATGGCCGTCAATGACAGGGTCATATGACAAAATCATTGTTGGTGTGTTGGAGCCAGGATTTACCATTATGTTACACAAGTGTTGCATCATAGAAAATAATGTGTTGCAAATAATGTTTTGTTGTGAATATGTATTGATTTATGGCTAAACCAAAGTGGGTATCATATAATATACCAATTTTATCACTAATAATGTAATGTTTTCTAAGCTGATGTTCATGCACCATAGAATGTACTCTCCATTCACAATGTACACTGTAAACTTGCTAAAATCTGAACAATAGTGACATATCTAGGATCATAGGTATCTGATAGTCATAGTCATGTCATATAATTCTTTATTGTCCATTCATGTATGTACTGAATAAGAAACATAATTTACAATTTAACAAATCTAAATCTGTTTTCCACTAGGCAAATTTATTCGCGCAAATCAAAATGAATCGTTAGCTTCCTGAGCTCTGATTGGTTGCGCATTTTTTGCTTCACAAAACGTAGCAACAGTTCTAACTACTAATTTCACTGATAAAATGTGCATGCACGTGAACTGACGCTTTTGATTCTCACGAATAAATTAGAAAACTGGCTTTAGACCCTAATTATGAATCAAATAAAGTCTCGATATAATTATGTCCTCGCCTTCACTATTACCATGGTTTTTATTTTTCATTAGGGAGGTGTGGTAGGAATTTTTATAAACTGGGATTGCAACTTAGATAAAAACTGGGATGACTGTCGACCACAATATTCTTTTAGAAGACTTGATAATAAAGAAGCCAAAATAGCCAAAGGATATAACTTTAGGTAAGTATATTATTATAGTTTTCTTATGCACTTTCAGATAGCCATATTCTATTCCTAGGTCATTGATTTTTAAGTATGTTAGGTATTATATTGTTCAATGTAGTAATTAATTTTGGGTCAAATTATTTTTTATATATGAATACATAATAATAAATACATATTTTGATATTTGTTTTAATCCATCTAATCAGCCTAAAACACAAACAGGGTAAAATACACAATGATGAAATTAGTTTTTGTACCTTGCACCTCAAACACTGCAGTCGATTGAGTAGGTTTGAGATTATGTTGTTTAATTGTAAGAATCTTGGTCGGAATCATTTTTAAGAAATTTGAAAAAGTGTCAATACTAGCGACGGAAATTATCATGTCAGCCTTTTTCATCTCTGATAACAGAACCCAAAATCAAAATAAGGCTAGGCCTAGCCTAGCAGTGTTGCCAGGCTAATGTTTCCGGCACCTAGTATATTTCTTCACCAATAGATTTCATCAAAGATTGAAAATTCGTCCAACTTTCCTTAACCTGGTCAAAAAGCACTTCCACAAAGACAGCATCCTGCACAAATTGTTCAACAAGAACAACGTAAAAGTTGCACAAGAAACATGGGCAGCACCATCAAAGCCCACAACAATCACCTACTCCACACCAAACAACAAGCACCGACCAAACTATGCAACTGTCGGATTAAAGAAGATTGCCCACTCTCGGGAAACTGCCTCACCTCCTCAATTATTTACAAAGCTACAATCACAACAAACGGAGAATCAAAGCATTACATCGG